TAAAATGGCTTAATTGCTGTTAAACATCAAGTGTAGAAATCCTAAGAGAATCTGACATTCCTAAAGGGAGATATGCAGTTTGGAAGCTTGCAGAAGCCAGATCTGGGTTCAAATCGCAGGTGTGCTAATTCTTAGGCATGTGATCCTGGGCATATCATGTAACTGCTCTGAGCTTCCATTTTCTTTTGTCCACTAGATATGTTAAAATATCCCTCAATATATATTTGAGACATGAAATGAGATATGACATATAAAGTACTTAGCATAATGCCAGACACATAGAAAATGCCAAAATACATATTTTATTTCCTGTATTGTCTTCACACTTCAAAAGGTAAATGAATCCAGGATGGCCCAAACCACAGCTGTCCTTGTCTGTGGGAGATTTTGATACTGGAAGCGTTAGTAAGCCAGGACTCTGATTCACTTGGTTCTGCCTTGAGTCCTGCCAGTGTAGAGGGAACCACGCCAGGCACGATTCCTTTTCCAATGTGGAATCAGCATAATTTAACCTCATCTTGGAAGTTTCATGTCCAACTTCACAGCCAGGGGTCAGCTTGACAGCCGGCGGAGTTGATGTCTTGGCAGCTTCTTGGCATCATCTGGAGACCCCAGGAGAGCAGAGCAGACCGGCAGTAAGACAAGGAGGCAGACATCATGAGTCCTTCCTCACCACGGCCTTCTCTGGTTCAGGGGGCAGATGGGCCCAGTGCCTGCAGCCACGCCCCTGCCCAAGGCCAGGCCCTGAGGTTCATGACTTGCTTGTTTCCTGGGCCTGCATATTCTGTGCCCTGACCACAGCAGCTGTCCCTGGATCAAGCCTTGCCCACCACACCCTGGGGAAGAATGTCGAGTGTTTGCAGAGGGCCCTGGCTGAGGGGGGAGCGTGAGGTGAGGGGACAGGGTGGGTTCCTGCCGTAGGCTAGAGCACCGTCCTCGTTCTCGCCCATCTCCTACCAAGCCAGAGCCGCGGAGTCGGTGGGCCGTGAGGCCTGGCCCTCCTTGCTCCTGGTAGCTTCCACTCCCTGTATAAGGGGGAGTTGATGAGTTGAGCGGCCCAGACAGACTCCAGCTGGCAGGAGTCACAGAGCAGCCCAAGGCAGTAGGAACGCAGAGCTCTCCTCCACCAGGCCAGAAGTGAGCACCTGGTACCTAGGGGTGGTCAAGCCTCTGTGGGCAACTGTGGCTGTAGATGGTGTCAGAGGCCCGAGGGTGTGTGCAGCCTGCAGGAGACACTGCCTGGTTGGCATCATGTTTCCATGCCTGTTACTAATTTTTTAAAAAGACTATTTATTTATTCGAATGGCAGTTACGGGGAGAGAGGGAGAGGAAGAGAGAGATCTTCCATCTGTTGGTTCACTCCCCAGATGGCTCAATGGCCAGGGCTGAGCTGACCCGAAGCCAGGATCCAGGAGCTTCTTCAGGGTCTCCCACATGGGAAGCAGGGGCCCAAGCACTTGGGACATCTGCTGCTGCTTTTCCCAGGCCATTAGCAGGGAGCTGGATCTGAAATGGAGCAGCCAGGACATGAGCCAGTGCCCATACAGGGTGCCGGCACTGCAGGCAGCAGCTCTTACCTGCTGTGCCACAATGCTGGCCCCCATGCTTGTTATTTCTAATTAAATTGGAAACCTTTATGGACCACTTCGTAAGCAGGTGGTCAGATTTAATAACATCAGTGACAGGACAGACTGACAGTCTGTCTCCTTTGTGGGATATACAGGAAGGATACATGATCCATGTAATGTTCCTGCCCTCAAGGTGTGGAGGGGGCCAGCGCTGTGGCGTAGTGGGTAAAGCTGCCGCCTGCAGTGCCAGCATCCCATATGGGTGCCAGTTTGAGTCCCGGCCACTCCACTTCTCATCCAGTTCTCTGCTATGGCCTAGGAAAGTAGAAGATGGCCCAAGTCCTTGGGTCCCTGCACCCACTGGGAGACCCAGAAGAAGCACCTGGCTCCTGGCTTCAGATTGGCGCAGCTCTGCCCTTGTGGCTAATTGGGGAATGAACCAGTGGATGGAAGACCTCTCTTTCTCTCTCTCTCTCTCTCTCTCTCTATGGCTCTCCTTCTCTCTCTGTGTAACTCTGACTTTCAAATAAGTAAATAAATCTTTTAAAAAGAAAAAAAAAAAAGGTGTGGAGGGCTGTGCAGGGCCAGGTAGGCCTTGGTGAGATTTGAGGTTTCACTCTGGGGAAAATGAGGATTATAAGGTACAGAGCCTGACTCCGTGAAATGGGATCCTTTAGCTGCTGTGTTGAAAAGAGACTGGAGTCGGGGGGCTGGCATTATGTGACACTGGCTTGCATCCATATGGGTACCGGTTCGAGTCTCAGCTGCTCCACTTCCCATCCAGCTCTCTGCTAATGCGCCTGGGAAAGCAGAGAAAGATGGTCTATGTGTTTGGGCCCCTGAAACCCTTGGGGAAACCCGGATGGAGAAGAGACTGGGGTGGGGGAGGAGGTAGCGTTGAGAACATTTAGTGAGTTCATTGCAGTAACACAGATGAGAGATGACGGAGACCTGGGCCACCACCTCGTAGCAGCCAAGGTGGCCAGAGGTGGAGTTTTGAAGGAAGAACTGATGTATTTTGCTGGTTGTTGGATCAGAGGAGTGAGAAAAGAGGGGTGAAGGCGATCCCAGGGCTTTGGCTCGAGCCATGGAAGGACGGCATTCCTGAGCTGAGATGGCTGCCGAGTGTGAAAAGGGGATTAGGAGTTCAGTCTCGGGCAGTGTCGGGTGGCGATGCCTGTCCAACGTGCCCAGGGGCATAAGGGTGGTAGGCGGCCTGTACACACTCAAGGTGGGCCTCCCTTTGAACCCAGCCCACTTCTTTGGCCCCATTTGTCCCCTGCACCCCCAGTCATTTCTGGCTTCCAAAGCCCTTAGTGTTGCAGCCTCAGGATCGCGGAGCTGCCCCAGGCCACCGGCCCTGGGCTGTCAGCATGTGGGCAGTCGCCTGGCTAATCCTCGGCTTCGTGTGTGAGCCACAGGGTGTCATCCGGGGCAGCAGCTCTGGCTGTGGGGGCGGCAGAGCCCTGCAGGCTGAGGGGACTTCTCTTCCTCTCACCGCAACCCGACCCAGCTCCCGGGAACTGCTCACAAACGCCGCCAGGCTCTCCGTTCTGGGGTGTCCGTCTGTGATCCCAGGAAACCGGAGACTCAAACTTTGATGGACGGCCGCATTTGGGACCTTGGGAAGAGACTTCGGTGCCAGCCCCGTGGGCGGGCCAGAGAGCAAAGCCTTGCGATTGTTCTGGGAAAATGTAATACAGTCCAAATGCTCACCAAAGGGACTCTTGGATTCATCCGTGCAGCCAGACATGGCGTTCTAAAGCCATTTGGGAAGGCCCAGGTAGACCACTCACCCTGCTAGGGAAAGGAGCCTGAGGCGTCTCAGGGAGCAAGAGCCATGTGGCAGGTTGTCGTGGGTGCTGCTGGGTGCTAGGTAGTGTTCCCAGGGTGGAGTGGGGAGCAACCACTTTTTGAATTTTTTTTAAACATTTTATGATTTATTTGAAAGGCAGAGTGACAAAGAGAGATCTTACATCCACTAGTTCACTCCCAAAACGGTCACAATGGCCAGGACTGGGCCACGCCAAAGCCAGGAGCCTGGAACTCCATCTGGGTCTCCCACATGGGGTGGCAAGGACTCAGATACCCGGGCCATCTTTCACTGCTGTCCCACGTGCATTAGCAGGAAGCTGGATTGGAAGTGGAGCAGGCAGGACTTGAACCAGCACCCATGTGGGATGCTGGCATTGCAGCCTTAACCAGTTGTGCCACAACACTAGCCCCAATTTGTTTTATGTAGATGCTATAGTGAGTAGAAAAAGGCCATGAAAGAACTTAACTTGTTAACAGCAGTCACCCCTGGGGACGGTAGAGGTCATCTATTTTATGTTTGAACTTTTGCAATGAGCAAATATGACATTTGTTTTCAGAAGTTTTAGGAAAGTGCTCCTTCCCCAACACCCACACAATATTTACCCACAGACATGATGAGAAGACCTTAGGTTGCAAAGAGGGTTTGGAGGGGTCTACACAGAGTCCCCAGCATCTAGACTCAGAATCTCAAATGGTTCCCCCTTTGGTCCTCTTCACTCAAGACCAGGCAAGCAGGAAAGGACAAGTGAGGGATAGGTCTGTTCTGTAGTCCCAGCCGGGGTACTGCCTGGCTGCATGGCCTGTCCTTCTACCTCTCTGAGCCTAAGCTTCCTCCTCTGTACTATGAGGGTGCTGGACCACACTTACCCCTAACGGTAGGTTGATTTTCTACCACACACATCACTAGCTAGTTGGCTGTGGTTGCTGGAGAAGCAGTGAGGGGAGAACTGTGAGGCCATATTAAGATTGAGCATCATGATCGATTAGTAATGTCTGTTGCAAACACAGGACAAGGAAAGGTGGCCCATGAGATTACTCATTGCCTTGGGCTGGATGGTCTCCAAGCTCCGCTGCAGCTGTGAGCCTCTCAGAACTGAGATATTCTCACTTCTGCGGGGCCGATTCTCTATGACCGTGTCACACATTTGCAGATATCAGGAATATGAAAGTCCATATTAAATATAAGGTGGTGAAGCCAGCTCCTACTGGACATGAGATCCCATCGTTGCACTTTCAGGAATTTTGCAAGCGAGATGTTCAACAGTTGGTAGCCTGTGGTGGAATGAGAAGGCCATGCCAAGATGGCTGCTGGCAAGCGAACGTCAGTTACTCAGGAATGGCTTCAAAACCCACCTGGCAACGGAACCTGCCTGGCAGCAGGCTGTGATTGGATGGCTTCGGATACTACCTGGCAACAGGCTGTGATTGGTTAGGGCATAAACCGCCCCTTGACCGGATTGGCTGCCTTGGCTATTTAAGCTGCTGTACCAACTGAAATATATGCGTCTGCAGGCTGCTCGCCTCAGGCCTGCTTTCACCCGGGGTCTGTGTGGTGACTCTACGCCTCTTACCCCCACCACGCTCCTCCTCTCAGAACGAATCCACAGCAACATCTGGCGCCCAACGTGGGGCTCGAACCCACGACCCTGGGGTTGAGAGTCCCATGTTCTACCAACTGAGCTAGCCACAGCAACAGTAGCCTGACCAGCTCTGGTAGGATATTGGCTGCAGAGACTGTTCTGTGGGTTTTTGCAGAAGGGCCAGGTGGCCTGCCTGCCTGAATGTTGAGCTACAGTGAGATCCCCGTCTCTCCTTCTCACCCAGACTTAGGGTAACCACTCACCTCAGGTTGCCTGGAACTGTCCTGGTGTTAGCACTGGGTGTCCCATATCCCAAGAGCCCCCTGGATCTCAGGCAAGCTGGGGTGGTCACTCATGCTGTAGTCTGTCCCTGTGAAATGAAGGGAGTCAACAGTTGTTGAGAACTGGTGCAAGGCCATGAACTCACTCATGCACTTGACAGTGTCTACTGGATGCCTTCTGGTGTCAGCCATTGCACTGGGTGTTGGGGCTGCTGTGGTGGGCAAGGCAGGCTTGGTCCCTGTCCTCAGGCACATGCACTCTCACAGCAGAGATCGCATCTAACAGTTTCTTAGTTACCAAGTACAGCAAGTGATTGGCAGGGAAAGCAGAAGAATTGATGAGCTGGTAACAGGGGAACCTGGCCTGGTAACAGAGAGAAGTCTTCCTGGAGGAGGTGACGCTTGAGCCAAGGTCTGAAGGATGAAGAGGAGTTAACGGGGAGGGCAGGGGGGAGACTATACTGGCAGGCAGAAGAGCAGCGACTGTGGGAATGGAGTGTACTGTGTTCTAGGAAAGGCAGGAGCACAGAGACGGGGCAGGGGCAGGGGCAGGGGGCAGGGGGCAGGGGTTCTGGAGTGGATAAGGCTGGAGAGGTTGTCAGAGCCCAGCTCATAAAGGCTTTGTGGCCCACCATGCGGAGTTTGACGTTATCCTTGAGTAGACTCTGGGGTGCACCTTCAAACACCACCCAGGACGGTGCCTCCTGCTGCCGGGAGTGTCAGCTGCTGGCGGCTCCCAGCCTCTTGCATAGTCAGGGAGTGGTTCCATCATGGACAGCTCTGACGGGCTGCACCACTTAGGAAGATGTCCCTGGGGTCAGCTGGAGCTTCTATTGCAGATGCTCAGCTTCCTCCTCTTCTAAACCCTGAGTCGTCCCTTTCAGGCGTGCTTCCCAAGAGCCCACCCTGCAAAGTCACCCACCTGCAGCACCCCCTGGGGCCAACCAAGGCATCCTCAAGGCCCTGGGAAGCCATTGCAGACTCCCAAGAGGGGGAGTAACCCATGGAGCCCTGCCTCGATTAAAGCAAATGACCCCGTCAGCAGCCAAGGTCAAGCTGAGGGGAGACCAGGGGGGATTCTACTGTAGTCAGCTGGAGGGACCAGTGTGGCTTGGGCTGCAGGGATAGGGTAGAGATCATGGGAGGTGGAAAGATTAGGGAGGCTGTGGGTCAGCTCTTTCTGTTCCACAAACCCATGCAAATTCTACGATTCTTTGCTGCCCCGAAGATGTCAACTCTGCGTGGGTCTCTAGTCTTTATCAAGTGGGGCAGAGCTAATCTGGGATGTGTCCCTACACCCAGGAGCATCTACACAGGGCCTGTGCATGGGCATGGCGGCCACCACAATGTGTGTCCCTGGCTTTCCTGGCCTGGCCTTGGTGGGTTTGGATGAGAGCTGTAGACCCCTCCAAAATGGAATTCCTACTGTCAAGGTATCACTTCAACTTCTGTGGTGCCCACTCTGAACCTGCCCGCTCCATCTGAAACCCTGTGTGGTGTCTGTTGATGATGTTCACGTGGGCCGTCCAGAGACCCTGTGCTGACATCTGATCTGCGTGAGAGGCCGGAAGGAGCAGGGATGGCTGTCAGACAGAGCAGACGAGATACAGACAAAGCAGATGAGGTACAGAGAGCTGCCCCAGAAGATGGGAGATGACACACGTGGCAGGCAGTGAGAATTTGGAGGGAGGACCGTGGTTTCCTGAAGGAGGTGGCTTTGAAACTGGGCGTGGGAAGACCAGGCTGGCAGGTGCATGGGAACTGGGGCAGTCAGGACTTCCGTAGGCAGTGGGGATCGCCAGGATCCTGTGTCTCTCAGTGGCTTCCAGGTCTTCTTGCCTTCTCCTGGGCTTCTGTAATGGCCACGCTCTCTGAACAGAGCTGGGATTGGGTGAGGGCCTTGGAAGGGAGCTCTGTTTCTCAGAGGAGCAAGTTCTAGTCAAGGCACTTGGAACAGTGCCAGGTTTTCTGCTGTAAAATCAGAATGATACCCATGTGTGTCTGTTAAGTTTTTTCAATCTGCAGTTCACTGAAGTGACTTAAAACTGTACTTTCCAATGAAGTCTATTGTGATCTACATGTGCATTCGAACATTGTCTAGTAGGGGTGTTTAAACAGGGGAGATAAATTCTAATGATACATAATTAGCCCATTATCCAAAATATTATTGTTTCTGTGTGATATCAATGTACACTTATTAATGAGCCATTTTACATTATTTTCTACACTGATTCTTTGAAATTCATTGCTCAGTGACCACATACAGCTGGAGGATATGGTGTCAGACAACACAGACTTAAACAGTAAGGACATTTATGATTTCACATAAATGAAAATCTCAAGGTAGGGCAGCCCCAGGATGTTAATCAACAACACCAACAAGGACCTAGGTTCCCAACACCCTTTTTCTTGGCCATCCACAGTGCATCACCTGTGCTCTCCACTAGCTCACCTCATGGTCTCAGAACGGCTACCACAGCCTCCCAGGCCACCTGTAGCGTGTGTCAGATTCTGGCAGAGGGAGAGGGTGTGTTTTCCTGTGTGCATCTCTTCTCAAAGAACTCTTTCCTGCCTCCCCACCAGGCTGATTGTCCCTCAAGTCTGAATGTCAGATCTCGTCACATGCTCGTGCCTAATCCAAGCCCTGGAAAGGTGAATGGACTTGGAAGTCCAATTTCAGAGATCGGAATTTGTCCCTGAGTTAGAGAGATTTCCCCTTCTCTGAGTCGGTGGAAGAGATCAGACACTGGAATAAGACAGGTCGTATCAGCAAAGCCCCGGGGGAACAGTTGAGTAGACAGGGACCCAGCAGTGTCTGCACAGCCCCTACTCCACGGCCCTCGGCTCCTTTGCTAGTCCACATTTCCCATGTGGAAAATGATGGAGTTTCAAGTAGTTTCCCAAACTGGGTTCCATGGAACACAGATCCCAACAGATGTGCTGCAAAAAGACTCTTGTAAAAGAAATTCATTTCTTAATCAACTGTGTCTATTTATGGGCCACAGTGTGAGGTCTTGATCTATGTATGCATTGTAGGAAAACTTAAGCATGCTGATAGCATATTCATCACCTCACCAACCTTTCTCTTCTGTGGTGAGAATGGCTGTTAAAAGTCCTCTCTTTTTAGCAACTTTGAAATCTGCAATATGTCACCAGTCACCTGGGCACTGTGCAGCATGGTCAGTCCCTGGGGCTCCCCCTGCAGTCTGAGACCCGCACCCCTTGGTTCACATCTCTCCTTGCCCCATTCTCCACCCCACGCCGCCCCCAGCCTCCGGGAACCATGCTTCTTCTCTCTGTTCTATGAGATCAGCCTTTTTTAGATTCTGTATGTGAGATCACAGAGGTTTTGTCTTTCTGTGCCTGGGTGAGTTCACAAAAGGAGGCTTCTGACGAAATAGCACCTGCCTCCTGGCAACTCACAGCACTTACGAGAACCTTCAGGTTCTGGGAAGGCCCACTGCGATCTGCCCTGGGTTTCTCAGATTTCCTGGCTTCAGAGCCCCCAGGGGTAGAACACATTAACCCAGGTTTGAGAAACACGTTTGGAGCTCCTGCCTTAATGAACTATGAGTTTATCCAGCAGGAAAAAGCTTACACAGACACCACGTCCCCCACGTGGCCTCTTGTGGTTGGCAGTAAATGACCTGCTCTTGCTGGGAAAATTCCCACAGACCATGCACGGCGAAGACTGTAGCTCAGACCACAGCCTACACACGGCGAAGGCTGTAGCTCAGACCACAGCCTACACACGGCGAAGACTGTAGCTCAGACCACAGCCTACACACGGCGAAGACTGTAGCTCAGACCACGGACCACACACGGCGAAGACTGTAGCTCAGACCACAGACCACGCATGGCGAAGACTGTAGCTCAGACCACGGACTACGCATGGTGAAGACTGTAACTCAGAGCACGGACTACACACGGTGAAGACTGTAGTTCAGACCACAGACTACACACGGCGAAGACTGTAGCTCAGAGCATGGACTACACACGGCGAAGACTGTAGCCCAGACCACAGACTACACACGGCGAAGACTGTAGCTCAGAGCACGGACTACACACGGCGAAGACTGTAGCCCAGACCACAGACTACACACGGCAAAGACTGTAGCTCAGACCACAGTTCTCATTTCCCTGAGGAAGAACAAAAACTACAGGGCCCCACCTTGCTTACCTCATCCAAACCTTTGATCCTCACCCCACGGGGGAGTCTCCCACTTGGTCAGACGCCAAGCAGATGGCTACTCACTCATTTTCCCTGCCTCCACTTGGTGATGTATCTGGTGTCTTCCTTCCTGGGATGGGCAGACATCTGTGTCCAAGGAGATGTGTTCAGGCTCTTATCTGACGTTATCAGTACCAGTTATAAGTTAGTTGATCGAATGAGTCGGTAAAAGCAGAGAAACATAAAACATGGTGCATACATCTTTATTTTTTAACAGGAGTCACATGTAACACATGTATAGTCGATCAGTCTGCTTTGTCGAGGGTCCTATTGGATGGAGGTCCTCCTTGTCTTTCTTGCATTCTGTGATGCAGCATCAACAATTCCCAGTTCCCTTAAAGTGGAATGAGAAGTGAAAGACCCATGCAAAATAACTGAATATAGAAAATGAGCAAACTTTTACAGGTTCCCTCGCAGTCTTTCATGGCTGTCACGTTCCTACCGAAGTCGGGGGCAGTTTTTTAGGGACTCCTTGGGGATGTTCAAAAGCACTGAGCTTGTGTTCAGAGAACCATGAGAATGCACTCGTACTGCACTCCTCTAGACGGTAAATTTTTAAGGATTTATTTATTTGAGAGGCAGAGTTACAGAGAGAGAGA